CGCTGCTGCCGGCCGGTGCCCGTGTTGCCCTCCGGACTAAGCCCCCTGTAACCGGCTGTCTCCCGTTCCGCAGGTGGCTGTGGATATGGAATTTGCCAAAAACATGTATGAGCTGCACAAGAAAGTGTCTCCTAGCGAGATCATCTTGGGCTGGTAAGTTGTCCTTCTGCAAGAATATGCAGGTCGTATTGCTGATTCCTTATACTACTTAAAATACATAATTCACTTTGTCACAGTTGGAAAAGCAGAAGCGCTAATGCCCGTGACACTCATACTTTGCAACTCTTGTTACACAGTCAGTGCTAAAGCTCCTGAAGCTCATGAAAAGAAGAGACAGTATTGGAGACTTAAAGGGTTGGGTTTTGTTTATGTCTAGCAAGAAGTGCTAGAGAGTGCCACAGAGGAGTGATGTGTTAGAGAATGTGTGTCCAGCTTTGTTAGAAGAACTTACTTCCTGTAATACAACCTATACCATGGAACTTCACTGGTTAGAAAGAAGGGAGAATACAAAAGAGGCTTTTAAGGTACCAAAGGTGTCAGGAGGAAACACTGATACCAGTTTGAGTACTTAGTTCTGTGCTGGAAGTAACCTGTGTGTGGGACGTGAAGCAAGATCAGTTCAGTGTTATGGGAACAGAATCTGTATCTGTGTGGCACAGTGTGTTTATTGCTCTTTTCATGCCTACAAAATGGCTTCATTTTGTTTTTGTGTAGCAAGCTTCCTCAACAGCCTTCTAATGGCACAGCAGAGTACAGCTCCAGTGACAGGAGCTTGCCTGAGAATGTGAGATGCTAATTGTAGAGCAGTTAAAAGAGCTAGATTAACAAGTTAGACCTCCTGCAGAGGGATGTGTGATTTGTGGATGAGAAAATTCGTCCAAGTTTGTTTGGTATGCTTTGACTTACATAGATGGAAAAAGCTGGTCTAGAACACAGTGGCACGTAACTGAATATTGGGTGTCTGATGTGAATTTACTGATGTTTTATGGCTGGTACTGCAACACTGGCCCTGTGCATATTTTGGACATGGGTGTGCTCAGCCTGTGATTCCTACAATTTTAGGGACAAGTGGCCATAAAGTAAGAACTCCTCAGTTTAAACACTTCTGTTTAGTATGCTGCTACATCTCAGTCTTTGGCAATCAGTGGTTTAGGATACAAACCTGTTACATACCAACAGTATAAAACAATGGGCACTTGGATGTTGGAAGGATGGCTCTTCACCGTGTGTTCTTTTGGAGGTATGCAACAGGGCACGACATCACGGAGCACTCAGTCCTGATCCATGAGTATTACAGCAGGGAGGCTCACAATCCAATCCACCTCACCGTGGACACCAGTCTCCAGAATTCACGCATGAGCATCAAAGCCTATGTCAGGTACTCTGGGATTTCTGAGAGGGCAGCAATCTGAGTTACTGAGAGATGCCCCATCAGGGTAACAAGGAATGTAGTGGTGCAGTGTCCTTTCTTGGGCAATACTGTGCAGTAGTTAAACATAGTGGTGAGCCTGGGATCATGGCTTACTTCTCATTGGAATGTCTTGACCATTGTATATAGGCTTAAAGACTTCATTCATTGGAACCTCATTGGGTTGGGCAATCATGACTTAAATTACAATTTTCAGAACATCTTTGGGATATTTCACAGGGTTCACACAGCTGGCAGTAATGTCACTAACTTCCATTACACTGACTGAATGCTAGCCTGTAGGCACAGGGCTTTATTGTTTGGCAGTGCACTTATACAAGTTGGAGGATAAATGTGGTTAAAACAATTAAAACAGCATCTTCTTGATGGATCTTTATTTCCCTTAACCCTGTCATTCTTATCAATTAACAATGGAGCTTAAATAATAAGAAATTAAACTCTTCCACCTCACCGAATTCCTCCCACTATTGGCTGAGGAGCTCTGCTCTGTAAGGAAAAAGCCTTTTCTTTGTAGAGAAAGTACTGCTTCATGACTGTGCATCTTTAAAATGGGAACTGTTCCATGAGATCTTATTTAAAGCCTAAATGGACTTCAAGTACTTAGAATAATAGGTATAATAAAGGTGTTGAGAGTGCTTTGTACTTGAATTTTGTCATATTGCTCATTGTTTCAGTCATTTCTTAAAGTGTGAAGTATTTCAGGATGGAAGAGCACTCTCTCTAAAAGCAAGAAGGAACTCTCCTTAAGATGATGGTACTTAGTTCTTCATGCATTCATGGTGATGTCAAACCAGCTAGGAGTATTCTTGGATGAAAAAGAACAATTAATAGCATGCCAGAACTGGTTTCCTGTCCTCAGTTATCCTTGGGTCTTAAAATTGCTGATTTTGGTGAGAATGAGTAATGTAGTCATGTTCATGCTTTAGTGCTAACAGAGATCTTTGAGATGGAAATCTCTTCCTTCCTCCCTTATATGTGTCCTTGCTGAAAACGTTTTGTTGTTCTTTTTTTTTTCCCTAGTGCCCCAATGGGAGTCCCTGGTAAAACCATGGGCGTGATGTTCACACCACTAACAGTGAAATATGTTTATTATGATACAGAGCGGATAGGAGGTGAATGTTTTCTTCCTATTTTGGTTATAACCCTTGTTGTGACAATGTTGAAATGTTTCTTTTACCTGGTAAAACCGCTGTTCTGGCAATTTTACTGGTAATCGGACTGTCTTGCTGAAGCTGACTTAAAAAGTCTTCAACAAGTTAAGGGTTTAAACTGGTATCTGTGGCAGTCAGTTTTTTTCACTGATCCTCCTTTTGCTTTCAGTGGATCTTATCATGAAGACCTGCTTTAGCCCCAACAGAGTGATTGGCTTGTCCAGTGACTTGCAGCAGGTGGGGTCAGCCTCAGCCAGGATCCAGGACACCCTGACTATGGTGCTGCAGTACGCCGAGGACGTGCTGGTACGGCCAGCTTCTGTCAGCCAGGAGAAAAGGCTGATGTTAACTTGTGCATCTGGGTTTTCTCATTATTTCTCTTTCTGGGCCATAAACTTTGTGTTCCACTTATGCTGAAGTGTGTTTTTCTTTTGCTTAGTCTGGCAAAGTGGCTGCTGACAACACTGTCGGGCGCTTCCTGATGGATCTTATTAACCAGGTGCCAAAGATTTCACCAGAGGACTTTGAGACCATGTTGAACAGCAATATCAACGTAAGATCTTAATTTATTTCTTCTGTGGCTTGCTAGCAATTTGGAAGAAAGCTTTTTATACAGACATAAATTTGTCTATGATCTATCTTTTCATACAACGTGCTAATAGCTAATTTAGCTTTTTTATTGTCAGTAATTTGGTGTTTTAAGGGCTGAGGGTGGATAAAGAAGCGCAGCATAATCTTGCAAGCAAATGCAGATAAAAGTATTCATTTTTAAGGACTTAGGAATTTTGCAAGTCATCTGAAAACCAGTACCAATTCTTCTTTCATATTGATTGGGCAGTATGAATTACAAAACTTTAAAGAAATTATTTCAGCAATAACAAGTGAATGGGTGACTTGCCAGATTCTTTTGCCTGAGCTAGAGTTTTGTCTCTCTGCATATCACTCACAAACATGAACAGGGTTTTAGCACGCTACCTGATTTCTCCAACAGATTTTTAGAACACTTAAGGTTTTGAATGTGTTGTTCACCCACAGTCTGTAAGACCAGAACTAATTTTTAATTTTTCTTATACCCTTTGACTTCTCTGGTTAACATGGGTGAACTCAGAGTTAAAATTTCACAAGCAGTGTTTCATATGCCAGTAATACCAAAAGCTTCCTGCAAGGGAAGCATTCTTCAGGGTAGGACTTTCAGGACTAACAATATTTTTTTAGCTGATTTTAAAATGCTTTACAGATGTTAAAAAATCAGCTAATAAGCTATAATTTGTTAATATTTCTGATCACTGGTTTTTTTTTCCCTCCCTTTCAGGACCTACTGATGGTAACCTACTTGGCAAATCTCACACAGTCACAGATTGCTCTCAATGAAAAACTTCTGAGTTTATAAAGAAACTTTTGCCACCCTACACTTTAAGGAGCCTGAAGAATGAGCAGATACACTTTTCTGTGGTGTTAGAAACTTCCTTGGACTGTAATTTAATGACCTACATGACTTGGTTTACATGGTTATTTCCATTGCTCTGAAAAGCCCCTAACATGTTTTAGAAAATGAATGGGAGCAGCTGCAGTTCAGTTGAGCCTGGTATTTTAAAATGGAATAAGAGAATCTTATGTCTTGTGGATTTGTCTACTTGTATAACAAAATACAGCTTTATTGCAATAATGTATTTGGAATAAAAGTTCCATTGCAGTGGCAACAATGGCTTCTGTCCAAAAAAAAACTTTCTCATTTATTGTGTAATGAATCCATTCTTGAAAGAGGGTGGGGGGGTAAGGTGGCATCAGGAAAGAAAGAGTGGATGGGAATGAAGTCCAGTTCTTTGCAGGTTTTCTTCCAACTGCTAAAGCACACTGCAAGTGTGGAGATTTGTGTTACATATAATATGCTTTACCATGAAGGACTGCAGAATAGTCTCTGGTTTATCAGTGGTGCTGTGTATATCCCTTCAGCAAGGTACTAACAGACTATGAGACAGTAAATTCAGTTTATGGTATCACTTCTATGCATGTAATTATTTTCTGATTATTTGGGAAAGGAGGTAAAGGTCAATAGCATTAGCCCCTTGTAAAGGGGGAGTTCAGGGAATTAAAGCCAGCAACTGAGTTCATGGTAAAAGAGTTTGAAAAGCATTTGTGGCTAAACAAGCTTGACTACTGGAGCTTCCATCTTTGCCAAAGAAGAAAAGGACAGCAAAATGACAATCCATGGGATTTGCGGTTAAAAGTTGGGTGTTGCCAAATAGGAATTTTCTATTTCATAATGCTGTACTGCTGCTAAAATTATGTGAAGAGAAACCCCATTTTCTCCCCAAGATAAGTTTGGTGTTAAGTAAGTTCCAGCTGGAAGAAAGCAAATACAAATATCAGCTGCAACTTTGCACAGTCTCTGCCAATAACATTACCTTTAGAAGCTGTCTTACAGTTCAGCTGTGCTGAGGGGGTACTCTGCTTTAACAGAGTTAAGCATCTTTCTTCTACCACAAAACTGTTCCCACCTTACTAGGGACTGTATCTAGTTTGGTGAATGAATTTGAAATTGAAGTATGCAAAGAGAGTGTTCTCCAGAACTGGTAATTTGCCAGCTAAATACAAGAATAAGACTCAGATTACAAATCTATAGATCCCATATTGGTTGGTACAATTCAGAGAGTTCCCCCAGTGACTCAATGCTAAATTCCAAGTTCTAACTGCAAGGTCAATGTAAATGAAAAGTGAAGGTCCAGCAATGATCCACATTGAAAATGTTATTTGTGAGCATTAAATAAGTATTAGAACTCAACTCAGTTTTTTATTAGTCTGAATAAAAAAGTTTTGCTTTCCTTTCTCTTTTTTAAACTTAATATTCTTAAATTCAGCCATTTAATGTTTCAAAATTTTCATAGCACAGTGTTTTTTGAGGAAAGTTTTGACATGGCATCAACTGGCAAAAAAGAGGAAGCAGCAAAGGTGGACAAGTCTCTCAATTATTGCAAAGAAGTTGTGTGGAGGTGGGGGGGAAGTAAAATATTATTTCCCTGACCTCTCCTCTGCAGGAAGCTCTTTTTCATTCCCTGTTAGGAAAATGGAGAAAGCATAAAAAGAAAGCTATTCAGCTTTTAGAGTGTTAAAAATCAATATTGTTTTATAAGCTGGTGTGCACAAAATGCAAACTTCCAAGAAGAACAATTTGTGATCATTGTGGAATTTGCCAGTCCTTGCAAATAGTGAAGACGTGATAAGGGACACAGACATGCTTCGCTCTGACATCTTCCCAGCACAGTAAGACTGCTATGTTTCTTTTAAAAATTAATACTTTCAGGATAAACTATCTTATTTATAATTTATATTTAGGGAATGCCTTCATAGAAATTCAGGAGGAGGTGGTAATGGTCCACTATTTTTTAACTGATGAGACTCAGCAGAAAACAAATTCTATATTGTTGGGAATGACAAACGTTATTGTTATCTGCAACTTGAAACTTAAATCCTTGCTGCCAGATTAGCAACTTCATTTGGTGATTATTTCCATGTACTGGGATGAAGGTCACTAAATTTGTGTTTTCAGTTGAATCACTTCAGTTTCTTGGCAGAAAACTTGAACCTGCTGCAAAGAGGAGGCAGTGTTTTGGTGGGCAACTTTGCGAACCTGTGGACATACGTCACCTCAACCTGAAATTCAGAGGTTCAATCCTAATGATTAAAAAGTGATGTGAAAATGTTGGACACACAACCTTTCCAGAACAGTTAAGCAGAACAAGCTGCTGTTCTCCTGTGCTTTGAGGAAGGGTGAAGCTTCAAGTTCCTCCCAGCGGAGCCCGAGACTGGTTGGCAGCTGTGCAGGGGTTGTGTAAAACCGCGATGCTCAGAGCAGGGCGGGTGGAGCACGCCATGAGTCACCGGCAGCGACTCCCTGGGCCGCTGACCAAGCCCAGGGCTCCTCCTGCCTCCTCACGGGGCTGAACTCGCTCTGCTCCCTGCACGGGGAAGCTGCCCTCAGCAGCTACTGGGACTGCAGTCACAAGGCAGCCTAACACTAGAAATGGTTTTAGTACATAATGTAGATTTGGGCCACTGCCGCATCCTGTGCCTTTGTTACCCTTTGACCTATGGTTCAAAGCTTATCAGTTCTTAGAACAAACTTGGGGGAAGTCTTTGTTTTTAATTTAATTACATTGGCTGGAGTAGAACACTGAAAGTTATACTTTCTATTACTTTAGTGGGAAACAATTTTCCAAACAGGACACATAGAGAAGCAGTAATGCTTTAGCTGCCTACATCACCAAAAATAAATTCCTCTGGAAAAAAAGTTTTGTTTCAGTTCTTTTGACAGCACTCAGCACAACTACGTAGTTGAGCCAAGTCACTCCAGACCAGAATCCTGTCCAGCACCATGTCCTAGGATGAGATGCAAGAATATTACAAAAGTGATGAACAAAAGTTTGTCTCTCCATTAAACTTGAATTTTCTAATAGTGAGAAGCTGCCTTGACTCTGCATGGCATTGAGAAGCTTTCCTAAATGTGTGGGCTCTAGGTGTAGTAACAAGCCAAGGGATTTCCCTAAATACAGAGTGAAATTAGATGACCACAATGGTTCCATTGTGCATGCTTTAAAAACGCAATTCCAAACATTCTCCTTGATACATAAACATTCAATGCATTTAACAGATTCTTCAAACACATATAATTTTGTTTAAAATATTTTCTTCTTCCTTTCATACAAAAAGAAAGGAATTTATTTTAAAACTAATCTTTCTTTTCTTGAGTAGCTTAATTCAAAACAGTCCACTAAATGAAAAAGATAAAGAAGTGTGTATTTTATAAATATACTTGGTTCCCATGGAAACAGGATTAAAATATATACTTGTCCTGAAAGAAATGTGCTTAACAGGTGAAATAAAGTAGACATGCACTCGGAGTGTCAGCTGAAGAATGCTGTGAGGATTAAATTCTTAAAGCCACTCCTGATGTGTTCTGGGTAAACAAGAGAGAACAAGCCAAATTTTCCTGGATAGGTAATGTATTAGATTCATGGGGCTTTAAGTGTTCTTCATTTGAAGTGAGCAAGCATGGTAAATTATTACCCAGCTATTTTCTGCTGTCTGTACTTCATGCTGTTTTATGGACAAAGAGAACAGTGGTTGTTATTTCATCTAGAGCTTAAGTGCTGCACACCAGGTTACAGGAAGGAACCAAAGCTGTTTGCATTGGAATGGTCTCTAAACTGCTAACATGTTTGTCATAAACAAAAAAAAAGGGGATATTTTGAATAACCTCAAGTAACTGGCGCATAATATTATAGGTGAATCCTTCATAAATTGTATATTGTTCGTCAGAATGTCTTATGAATAATTAACCATCAGGTAAAGTACGTGCGTATAATGTCTATTCAAAGTATAATATTAATAAACATTACAACAGACAGAAACAAAACAGTAGGCGCACTCCCCATAATTACATTCAAATAACTATAATTAACATTTCTTTCTAGAAAAGTGTATGTAGTAGTCAGCCAATCTTACCTTTATGTCCTCTTGGGACTTAGATCCTGGTCTTCAGCAGCTACAGCAAAAGGAGCAGCTCCTCTAGCTCCATACACTTAGGTCTTTTATATTCTTTGCCTGTTACATGCAGTTCTGGCTGCCTGGGTGACTTGACGGACTCCCTGCAACTACTAAACAATGATTCTGATTTAAAGGCGCATGTGTTATTGGATTACAGACTTGGCTTAAAACTACACGTATTAGGGCTGAACTCCATTGCAGTGGTGCTACAGGGAAACTGCAGTGTGGACTTTTCCCTCCCTTTCCTACCGGGTGGCAAAGGGCTGCCGTGGGACAGCTTCTCCGGGCGCTTCCTGCGAGAACGCTTCCCTGTCACAGCTCCACTGGCGAGCGGCTCTGCGTTCGTGGCACTTGCGCCTGTGAGCTTACCTCTCGTCCGTCCGAGAGACAGCCGGGCATGGCACTGCTCCCTTCAGCGAGACAGCCG